AAAATTGTTCTAAAACCCAAAGGAAACTACCTCTATCACTAATTAACATTATTTATTTTAGGTACACCCAAGTTAATTACAATGAATCCGTGTGGTAAGTATTTTTTAATGATAAAATTTCCAAAAATGAAAGCTTAGACGAGCCGAGAAAGTCCATTGACTGTGGATCGCCTAAGCCACTGTGGCTCGCCTAAGCCATCCTAAATTCTCTCAATACCTCTGTTAATTCCCCAAATCCATTCATAATTGATCTTAATCCTTTTATATCATCCAATGGGACTAAACTTTACAACTTTACAAAAATTACAGTTCCGGATCCGGATATCCGAAGAGTTCCAACTATCCGGCAACCTTAGTCCCGACCTGATTGATAGACCTGATTCGCAGTCAATGGAATATCTCTGCTTCCGATCTAAACTATATTCTAAAAATGAACTGAAATATACCTTCAGACTTGGAGCATTAAAATAATATTTTTAATATTAAGCCTGCAAAATACTCGAACATTTGCCTGTTAAAGGCGAAACTGATGAAATACGTAAAAAACTAAGTGTTGAAGCACGCAAAAAGCATTTTGGACAAGTTAAAGTATTATGTGAAAAAAATATAAATGGAACGGGGGATTTTGTGAACGATTATTTAATTTTGTCGAAAGAGACTAAATTAGCTGAAACTTTGATTAAATGGAGAGAAATTTTTGAAGGTTCGAAGAAGATTTTGAGGGGAGTGAGGAAAACTGGAGAATTAAAGTTGGAATTTACACATGAGATAGTAAGGGTTTATCAAAAGTTAAGCCAACGGACCTACATGTTTTTGGGGATTTAGTCTTCGAGTATGGGTCATAGTGCCAGGATACCAGTACAAGGCTGTAAGTATGGTCTGAATCGGTGTTTCATCCTAACTATTTGCAGATATATTGTTATTCTGATAAATATTTTAGAGTTATAAAGAGGGCCCAGTCTATTTGAGAATGGGGAATAGATGTGGATCAGGGACCTTCCTCCACCTTCAGTCTTTCGCTTTTAAAGGACGTCCGTTCTAGAGAGGAGCTCGTTTCTAGAGAAGAGCTCGAATTTTCTATAAAAATTTATACGGCTTTTTGAGAGTGGTTGGTCCACCCATTTCGAGAGCGAGTTGATCTAGAACCCACTATGTATCCTAATTTTTTATATAAAAAAATTTATTCAAAGATGGATGAATTTAAAATCGTCTATAAATTTTTGTTGGTCCTTCAATTTTGTGCAACTGTCGATGTCAAATTTAAATTCGACGTACAAACACTGAAAAACTTAATGAACTTTTTTTGTAACAATGATGTAGTGCCTAATGCAAGAAATGCGTTAAATTCTGCAAGGATAAGTTACAAATTTGGCAATTATGCTATCCCAGATAAGGAAGAGAATGCATGTAGTAAGTTATAGTGATTGAGGTACTCTTGTGTTATCTCCCCCATTTTATTTTATACTTATTCGTTCTCTTTCCTTGCTACAAAAATGTACACATGGATCAGAATGTACACATGGATGCTCTTTAAGACAAATGATGCGGTACACACCAACGTTGTCTAATTGCAAAAGCTTCACTTTGACCCATGCGTACTTTTGTGATGGAGAAAGGAAGAACTTAATGGGGAAAAACTTAAGGAAGAACTTAAATGGGGAGAGATAACACAAGCGTACCGGGAATCAAAATTAACAAAAATCCGGATTATCGGGATGTATATTTGTTGAGATATCGATCTCAATCTCTCGTATAACCCTCCCAGTTCCTTTCCCATAACCCTCACTCCCAATAAATAGTAAATAATTTTTAAATTATTTGGCCATTGGGTGAGAGGAACAATCCCTAACCGATAGGCCAACTTTCAGATACTCCTCATTTTTAAGGCTATTTGTCTCGTCCACAAAGGGGAGTAGTTAAGAACGATCCAAGAAAAAATAATATTATTACTATTAAGAAATTCCTGACGAAAAAAAGACACACTTGCTTAAATTATTGAAGAATACGGATAAGAAGATAATTCCCGAATTTTTTACGGCATTAAATGAGATCTGCATAAAGAATTTAAAAGGAGCACGAAATTATATCGAAACAGCTTCGATTCTATTAGATGATAAGGAACGAAAAAGGAAGTTAGAAGGAACTTTGATTGAATCTAAAGGATTATTGAATGATTCTAGCAAAAAAATACCATCATTGTTAAATCAATTTAACAACGTCAGTGTTAACGACCAGCTCTCACATATAAACCAAGATGAACTGGTTAATTGAATTTTAAATTTGAATTTTTGAATTTAGGAAAAATTGCAAATTAATTAGTACTATAAATTATGAGAGAGAGATTGTTCCTCTCACCCAGTATTAGCCCGATTAACCCCATCTTAAAGTTTGATAGAAACCAGAGATTTTAATATTCGTATCCGGATATTTACGGCGGATACAGACGGATATCTGCAGGCATTTTTATAATGTCTGTATCCGTATCCATGCCCTAGTCTGATTAAAACAGCGGCGTCCGATACCTCTATGTGGTTCCCTTACTCTTATTTATCCTTAAATTTAAGCTGATTTAAACATAACTGTTTTTAAGGAGGAAGGATTAGGCGACATTTATGCATTTTTACATGTTCTTCGATTTTGTGCAACCATAAAAGACAAATTTCTTGAAGATATAGAACGGAATCAGCAGCAAAAACAAGAGCAGGAACAAAAAATAGAACGGGAGCAAGAAATAAAACGCGATTCAAAGGTTTTGGACTTGTATTGTAAACTTGATATATTGCCCAAAGCAAGAGAAGTCTTAAATTCAGCAGAGATACCTTACAGATATGACAATTTTGTAATCAAAATTGACAAAGATTTTGTTAGAGGAACGAAGTTGAATTCGTTGAAATTAAAAGATTGGTTGATCGAAGATGGTGAAAATTCTGATAAGAAAGCTAGCGCAAAGAAAAGTACTAAAAAATCAATTTGGAACTGTTTGAAAAAACCTCCAACAAAGCCCTTACAACCTTTACTTAAAAGTGAAAATCTAAATTCAAAATTGGGCACGTTTAAAATAGAAGAAGGATCAGAAGGAGGAGAAGAATGAGACAAATCTTCTTTTAAAGATGAAGAAAGAGAAAGAAGATGAAGAAGAGAGAAATTTATTTTTAACCATTATGTACATAGAACCTGATTAGGGATAAAACATTGAAGATAAAAGCCGCCGTCTGCTGTGTTACCCTTATCTTCAGTTTTAACCCTATCAACTTGGATATGTTCGTCATTTAACTCCCAACTCCATTTTTATTTTTATTTTAAAATTTGACACTTCTCTAACAATTTGAGTTCCCTAACAATTACACTTCTCTAACATGTCCTCCCTCGGATATCGCCTCACATATCACTTTTTACATTAACCTATCTTCATTCGTCAACTCATTTCGATGCCAGTAGGATATTTAGTGGTGATGCTCGGGAGAAGAAAAACCCCGGAACCCGGGAAACGGAGGTCGGGTCGGGAAATGACTCCGGGAGTTGGGATCGGGAGGCTAAAACTCGGGAAATTTCCCAAGTCTGGAGTCGGGATACCCGAGCATCACTAGTATTTAGCTCGATTAACTCCATCTCAGTTGCCATCTTTCCCTCATTGGTCCAAGGGGTGCTTAGTTAGAGAAGCTTGCTTTATACCTCAGTTTAAGAAAACTTTCTAAAAACTTTGTATTTTTTTATTTTTAAAGGGTATAAATTTATTTAACAACATTTATTGTCAGGAACAGGCATTTTCCCCATCCAAAAAAATTTCCAAATCTTGGGAAAAATTTTCGAAGAAAAAAAATTTTTTCAAAAATTTTCAGATGGATTAAATAGAAATAAAAGTCAATTTAAAATTAAACTAATTTTCAAATTTAAAAATTATTGCCAAACTTTTATTTAATTAATTTGGCGAAATGTTTATTTATTTTTCTTTTCTCTAACCGTCTCTTTCTTTCTAGTTATTTCGGCTCCGGTACAAAATATGGAATCGTTAAAATATGGAATGGTTAAAATCGCGAATAGGCTAAAAAGGGGTTAAAATACCGAATCGTTAAAATATGGAATGGTTAAAATATCGAATCGGGTAAAAAAGGGTTAAAATATGGAATCGTTAAAATATGGAATGTTTAAAATCTCGAATAGGCTAAAAAAAGGTCAAAATGTCGAATTCTTTTAAAAAGGGTCAGATGAGTGCCGTACGTTGATTATTGATAATTTTATCAGCTTATCAACCTATTGTTGATAATTTGATTGATAAGTTTCGTATGTCGTAGTCCGTCGCAATCTTTTCGGCCTGAGTTCACTGTATTTTACCGAGTAAAACCGGACCGGATAAATCAAGCATAATCGACCTGATCCGGTCCGGAATGATCGTGCGGATCCGGAAAACATAACGCGATCTTGATACGTCAAATTAGAGTGGAGTGCCTAGCTTCTAATAAAACCCGGAATTTTTTAACTGTACCGTATACGGTACAGAATACCGAAAAATACCGATCAGCTTTTAAATTTTATCGGTCGGCATTCCGCACCGTACTAGCGAAACGGAATACCTAAAAATACCGTCGGTATTACGGCAACGCCCGGATTCTAGGTTTTGGCGCCATTTTTAAAAAATTCGACATTTTGACCTATTTTGGCCGTGTCGACATTTTTACCATTCCATATTTTAACGATTCCATATTTTAACCCTTTTTTAGCCTATTCGATATTTTAACCATTCCATATTTTAACGATTCCACATTTTAACCCCTTTTTAGCCTATTCGCGATTTTAACCCCTTTTTACCCGATTCGAGATTTTAACCCCTTTTTAGCCTATTCCATATTTTAACGATTCGATATTTTGTCCGGACACGGTTATTTCTATTAACTAGGCGCGCTTTTTATTTTTTTTATTTTTTATTTTTCGATTACCTAATTTTCGTTTCCAATTTTCTTTTAGATTTTAACCTTCCCTTTAAATTAATCAACAAAAAAATTATGGAGAATGATGCGGATGGAATTATTTTGGCATTTGTATTTTTTCAAATTTTTTTAAAATTCCTTTTTCAATTTTGAATAGATAAATCTTCTCACATCCGAATTACAAATTGAGGAAATTTTTTCTTTTGATGAAATCCTATGTTTGCTGCCTATTCTTATTAAAATGATGTGAGTTTGGTTTGAAAGATTTTTTGGGAAATCCAAAATCCGCAAGTTTTCTGAAAAGTCCGCAAGTTTCGTCCGCAAGTCTTACAATGCCTTATCAGGAGGGGATTTTCGCCCCTTTTACTCCTTTGAGCCATATTATAAGTATCCCAGCCATCTAGCACAATTTTTGTATAAAATTCCCAGAACTTGGTTCTTTTCCCTTTTACCTTTAAAAAGTCCGCAAGTTTTGTCCGCAAGTCTTATGATTTCTTTTATCTGAAAATCCTAGCTTTTTATATTCCTACAAACTTTATTATACGCTTCCCGACAATCTGACAAACCTATTTTTAAAAAATCATGTTCTTCAGGATTAAATAAAATTTGCGGACAAAACTTGCGGACGAAATTTGCGGACGAGAACCAAAATAAATTTTTTTCTATAATTTCAGCCAAACTGGTGAATTAACCTTCAAAAGTGATTTTGACTTTAAATTTAAAGATGCCGTTGAATTTATTAAAAAAGAATTGGGAAGCAAGTCTGTGGAACTTTTGAAGCCTGAAAATGCGGATGATGGAGATAAACAAGAGATTGCTAATATAATATTTGCCCTCTTATTTATTTTATATAAAAATCAAAGGGCTAAATTTGATCAAATATGTGAAAAATTGGATGGAAAAAATTCTGTTGGGATTAGAAATTTGGTATTTTTAATTTTTAAAATTTTATTTTTGAATTTTTTTTGTCCATGTTTTGTCCGCAAATTTCGTTCCCAAGTCTTTTCTGCTTATTAGTAAATTTTTCAGGATCCATTTGCGGACAAAACTTGCGAATTTTTTTATTTTTTTACTTTCTAAATATCCACAAGTTTTGTCTGCTAATTTAATCGCTTTGTTTTTCCTCAACTTTCTTGCGGACAACATTTTTTATCCGCAACTTTTTTCCAAACAAAATTTCTATTCGCAACATTTTTGCGGACGATATTCTTGTCCGCAACTTTTTTTGCGGACAAAATTTTTTATCCGCAATTTTTTGTGCGGACAACATTTTTGTCCGCAACTTTTTTGCGGATAAAATTTTTGTCCGCAATATTTTTGCGGACAACATTCTTGTCCGCAACTTTTTTTGCGGACAAAATTTTTTATCCGCAATTTTTTGTGCGGACAACTTTAATTCTTATTTTATCTCGACTGTAAAATAATTTTTTATTTTTTTAGTTAAAACGTTTGGATAGTTTTGATCGTTTTTCACCAATACCCTTTACTTCAATTTTAAACAATTCTTCTTCAAATAATTTATTTTCTTCAAATAACTCAAATTTTCAAATATTTTCTTCACAACACGAAAAAGAAAAATTGGAAGAAATATCAAAATATAAAATTAAATCGGCAGAATTGGAAGCTAAATATAGCCAAATTGAGTCAATTAATTCAAAATTAAATGAACAACTTGGAAATGCTCAAAATGAATTTGCTGATTTGGAAAATAAATTTGAGAGGTTAAAACAGGCTGATAATGAAAAGGTTTGTGTGGCAGGGATGTGTTGGGGTGGGGAAATTGGGTCGGGGTTTTACATGGGTTTTCAATTATTTTAATGGAAATTTTTTGTCCGCAAAATTTTTGCGGATAGTCCGCAATTTTTTTGCGGACTAAAATTTTTATTTTTACTCTGTAAATTTCTAGCGGATTTGTCCGCAAATTTTTTGCGGATTTGTCCGCATATTTTTTGCGGACTAAAAAATTTATTTTTCAGCAAGGATCTATAGAACTTTTAAATATTCAATTGAGAGAAATTACAGACGAAATGGAGACTTTACGTTATACAAATTTGGAATTACAAAAAGAATTAAAATCTTTAAAGGAAACCCATTCCCGTGCCCTTCAAAAATCAGCACAAGATTTAAAATTGAAGGAAGAGGAAGTTGGATTGCTTTATATTAGGTTTTTTTTTAATAAAAAATGGATTTAATTAGACATAAATGGTGGGGTTAAAATATGAAATTTCTCATTGTCACTTCATCCCTCCTGTTTTCTACCCCCACTAGGCTTCCTATCCCTTTGTTCACATTGTATAGTAAAAGGGGGGTCTCACCCTTATTATTACTTTTCAATTTTGTCTGCTACTATTTTACGGTTATTTTTTTTAGTCCGCAAATTTCTAGCGGACATTTCATATTGTCCGCAAATTTTTAGCGGACATTTCAATTTATCCGCAAAAATAAAATATCTCAATTTCTATTAAAATTTTTTTATTTTTTACAGATTAGATACTTTAGTTAAACAAATAACAGATAAGGACTCTTCTGAAAATAAATTAAAATTTATGGAACAACAATTAGCTAATCAGCAGGGGACAATTGGGGAATTAAGGAGTGGTCTTGAACAAGCTTTGGATAGAGCTAATTTTGTAAGAAAAATTTTCTTTTTTAAAAAGAAATAAGCGAAAAACTTAAAATTTTCAATTTTCTTTGTCCGCAAATTTTTTGCGGATGTCCGCAAAATTTTTTGCGGACAAAAAAATTTTTGCGGACATCCGCAAATTTTTTTGCGGACAATTTTTTAAAAATGCGGATAAAATTTTTTTCGATTAAAAAAATATTTTTTTCACTAATTTAGGCAGAAAAAGAATTAATTAAATATAAAGGACTACACAACAATTCTATTAACCTTCAAAATAACACAACTTTTCAAAATGGTTTTTTTTTATTTTTTATTTTAATAAATTTTTATTTTTTTCAGATTCAGATAATTCTATTTCTCTTCATGATGATTTAAATTCTTGTAAAATTACAGAAAATCATAGGTTTTATTTTTAAAAATTTTTTTGTTAAAAATAATTTGGGGGGAGAACTATCAAGAGCGTGGTCAAGGGGGATTTGAAGACTTCTCCTTCCTTCCCCTCGAAATGGGGACATAATGAAAAAATTTTGGGTGGGAAATACTCAAAAAAGTTAATTCTTTTTGCCTATAACCCCAAAAATTGTCAAAATTTTTAGAAATTGAAAAAAATTTGGCTCTTGGCTTTCCATATTCTGAAGGGATTCGCCGGCGGCGCTAAAAAAGAAAAAATATATATGCAAAAAAGGCTTTTTGAACGCCAAGATTTTGGCGTACATTTTTTCAAAATTGGATCCCTTGGCTATGCCATTGCTCCTTTCTATTAGAGGTGGGTCGGAATTCCGATTTCCAATATTTTTTTTCCTTCTGATTTTCGACTTTTGAGCTAGTTTTGATTTCCGTCACCTCTAATTGTTCCGACTCACCTCTGCTCTCTATTATCTCTTTTTGAGTGAATAATTTTAAAAAATTTTTATTCAGCAATTTTAATAACGTTTTATTTGACCACCAAATGACTTCCCAAAATGATGATTTTGCAAAATTAAATACTCGTTTAGAATTGCTACAATATGAAAAAAGCGAATTGGAAGAATTAAATAATTGTCAATCAAAAAATATTTTGGAAAAAGCAAAAGAAATTGAAAGATTTAAACAAGAATGTGAATCTAATTTAAATGAATTGAAAAAAATGCAACAAAAAGAAGCTTTATTTATTGAAAAATATAAAAATATTGAAGGTTTTTTTTTTATTTTTTTTTGGAGGAAATTTTTCTAGAAAGAGGGGACTCTCTTCTAGAGAGTGGTAGAAATAATGATTCTTTTTAATTTTTAGTTAAAAATTTACTTTTGTGTAGTTTACCCCCCATCACTTGAAGACTGTTTTCCGGTCGGTGTCTTCCTACACCCGTTAACAAACCTAAACGGCCAAATCATTAGAGGACAGACTTCTTCAAGAGAGTAAAGGGAGGAATAAAGATAGAGTATGGGGGGTAAACTACACAAAAAAATTTTTTCTAACAAAAGTATTTTCCTAGAACCCCAACGGTTTTTTAAATATATTCTAAAAAAATTTTTTTTAGAAGAAAATTCTCAACTCAAAAATACAATAAAAAGATTAGAGGCAGCTCAATTTATTTCTGATTATAATAATTTACATGTACAGCAACAACAACAGAAATCTTCTTTCTCTTCTACATTATTTAAAAAATTGTGAGTTAAAAATTTTTAATTAAAAAATTTTTTAAATCAACTGTAATAAACCTGTTATTTATTTAATTCGGGTGGATTTCGCTGAGTAAAGGTATGGTATGGGGCAAAACGCAGTCTGGACAAAATACCGTCCTCAACACCTCCATGTTCCCTCAGTGTCTCCTTTATATTGGTCTGTAGATCCCCCCCCCCCCCCCCCCACCTCCCTCTCCTCCTCCTTTCTTTCTTTCCAACCTACAGTCACATTTCTAATGGGCGGATTTCCTTATATGAGAGTAAGGGGAGAGGGGGGTTAGAGGAAGACCCTCCAAGTAGGGAATGGGCGGTAAACTACACAAACCTAAGTTTTTTGTCCTACCGCTAAGTATTTTTTTTCGGAAGACCCTCTTTCCCTCAAGTGAGTATAAGGGGATAACGCTTGTCTTCAACACCGTCTTGTACCCTTTAAATATCTCTCATTATAAAATCTCTCATCTATATCATTTAAAAAATTCTTTTTCAAGTAAATGGATCTCAATATTTTGTGTATCTATAGCTCTTATTTTCTGGTTTTTGTGGTTTATTGAATTTACACTAGAAATAACTTATTTGCAAAACTGAGATTTTAAAAGAAAATATTAATTTATTTTATTCTATATTTTACCTTTAATTTTAAATAAATTTTTACAAAAATAAATTTTACAAATTTTCTACACATATTTTAGACCCGTATTTTACTTAATATTTAATTTTTCTTTTTGTTCTTCCGCTAAGTATTTTTGGAGACAGTACCTTAAAAATATTTTTCAAGAAATTTTATTTTCTAGAATTTAAAATTACTCTAATATTGCCAACTCCTCCATCACTCAAAAATCCTGGTGATAAAATACTTGGGGTCAAAACAGTGAAGGTGCAATACTGTGGAGAGGCGATGGGTATTTGAGCGAATGCTTTTAAGAAAATAATTTTTTAGTTTTATATTAAGTGTTGGAAAGGAATCTCTTTCATGTGCCTTTGGGACCTCGAGTTTATCTTTGACATATGTCAGTGTGTTTTAACATGAGTCGGAGTGTTTAATTATAGTTTCCATATGCCAAGTCTAGGTTAATCTATGGCCCTTTTAATTCCCGAGATTTAACTAGCCTTTTTGTTTACCCAGATCTATTAGGTATCACCTTTATAAAATAAATACCTGGACTCAACACCGTAAACGAAACAATAGTTGGGGTGAGCACACGAACTTCGAAAGCCTTTGGGTTTAAAATTTCCGCAACTACTAGTCTTGGTGAAAGAACATAGGCAATAAAAGCTCTAGGGGAGAGGATCTTTAAATTGAAATTTAATTGAAAGAATTTTTATTTTTGGAGTTACTTTAGCATTGAAAGTTTGGGGGCTGATTACTTCAACACGAAAAGCTTCGGGTGCTAATAGTTGTAATGTAAAAGCATTTGGCGAGAGTACACTTAGCATTGCGGCGCGAGGCGATAGTATGCTGGGCACGAAGGCAAATGGGCTGAGAACGTTGACCTTGAAAAAATTTTTTTATTAAGGGGCATGTAAGAGGTATTTGGAAAAGATCTGACTAGAGTATTGTTGATTTGACATGCCCAGGCTTAAGCTCAGTAAACCGTGAACGTTCAAAAAACTCGTCGGACTCGGCTTACTTTTATAAAAGTTCCCAGCAGTGCTGGTTGGTTATTGAGTGTTTCTGGCTCCGGTTCCGACTTTTTCTAAATCATGGCCCGGTTCCGTAGCTATAACTCCCTAAGCCATACCCAGCTAACTCCTTGATTCATATCAGGTTCTCTTATTCAGAGTACGTTTTAAACGAACTGGGACCCTTTACTGGAAACTTTACTAGTTGGTTCTTAAACCAACCAAGTTAATCATAACTTAAAAATCTTTTAAAAACTTACACCCCCAAAATCAGGCGTCAAAAGTTGTAAGCTAAAAGCTCTCGGCGATAGCGCAACCCTTCTCATTACTTTACCATCATTCACTTGATTAACAAAAAGAAAAGGATCAAGAATTCTCATCTGTCCTAAACTTTCAATTTCCATGAAACGCTTCGTTCTATTTTTAATCAAATATTTTTTAAATTCATCTCCAACATTGCTGGTTAAATTGGGGTTGTTTTCATTAATTTTTGATAATTTTCTAATGTCTTCTTCAAGTACAGCTTCCAATTCATCTTCATCATCGCCTAATTCGTCTTCATTTATTTTTTGGAGAATTTTGCCTTAAATTTTGGAATTTTCTATTAAATTCGTTAAAAAGGGTCAGTAATACTTTGCCCATTATCTCCTCCAGTAAGCATCATTTTAGACTGCTCCCTACTCAAAAAAGTGTATCCCCTCAATTCAAGCTCATCCTTCTGCCTTTTATTATGCCATTTTGAAAGTTTACTAAATCTTCTATCAATTTCCTCCAAACGTTCAACAGCTGGAAGAACTTTGGTTTCAATTTCGTTTTTTATATTTTCTAGTTGATTTAATAAACGCTTCAGGGTGGCAGCAGCTCCACTCATTTGTAAAAGTAATTCGAGCCAAGGAATTGTTTCTTGTTTGTTGTTGGTAAAAACGAGCTTAAATGGGAGATTCTAATGAATTCAGTAGAGATGTCAAGGATACGAAAATTTTCCAGGACTTAAGGCTATGAGTGCAGCTCAAAACCTAGTCCCTAGAACACTTAAGAAACCCATGACAAATTCCGCCTCCTTTTTCGAAAAGTTTATATCCATATCTGTCCGTATCAACGAATATCAGCTGATATTATCTGTATTCATGAACATGTTTATTCTTGGACACCCAATAAATTTTGACTTTTACTTTACCTTAAGCTTAGATTTTCGCATAAACCTTAAAATATTCAAAACCACGACGAAACCTAACTAAGAGTCTCAAAACCCACTAAAACGTCTTATAAAATTAATAAGAAAGACTTGCATCCAGTAAGGATCGTATAGAGTAATTCCCTTCCTTGTGGAAGGATAAAAATGTTGGAGACATCAACATTTCTTCAATTTCCGGATTTCTCTTTTTCGGATTTTCAGGCACAATATTCAACAATCGAGGAGAGAGTATTTCCATGTTATCCAGATGCATGGTATTTTGTAATTGAGATTTGACGGTATTAAGTAGGGGATCTGGTTGTACTAATTCTGTTGCTAAATTTACAGGCAATCCGAATTTTTTCAATAAGCTGAAATTTTATAATTATTATTCTGATTTTTATTCTCATTTTTTTCTATAATTAACCACCTGTTTAACTGTTCTTCCTTCAATTTAATAAACCTATTACAACGCTCCACTTTATCATAAAATCTTTCAATTTCCAAAAGTTGCTTTACATTCGGATATTTTTCAAGCTTCTTCTCGTCAATATTTTTAAAAATTTTTAAACTTTTTTCTTCTCGTTTATCTCTATTTTTAAATTTTTCCCTTCTCATTAGTTTCATTTTTCTTTTGAATTTTTCTATCTTGGATTCTTTATTAGCTTCTTTCTTTAATTTTATGCCGAAAAATCTTAATTTAAAATTTAAATACATTCAAACAACCTCTCCTTTAGGATCACCCCTTTAGAGCTCAAAAACCTTATAAGGGTTATCTTCATGTCTTTAAATTGAAGATACCGAGAAAAACTGAGTTATATTTAGGCAGCAGGGATATATACCTTCCGTCTTTTGTCTTTTTTAATTTTATCCATTTTCCTTCCGGATTCCTTTTTAAAATTTCGGTTAGACAGAGAACAATAGTTTTTGCCACCTATTGTTCCAGCAAAATTTTTTTAAAGATGTTCTTATTGTGGAACCAGGCGTATCTAAAATTGCATTGGGACTGCACCAGGGATCTAGCCGACATCTCTTGACTCTTATACCTTCAAACTTGATAATAAAATTAATTTCTTAAAAACACCTTTTTCTATTCGAGTGCTGCTTCATCCTTAATAACCTCGCCTCATTTATTTTCTTTCCATTTATTTTTTCTTGCATTAAAATTTTAAAAACATTAAAATTTCCTCTATTTTTAGGGGGTTTTAGTTGAAAAATGTCTGACGGATTTTTAATAAAATTTTGATCAAATTTAAATATTTGTGTCCATAGAGGCCATTCTTGATTATTTAAATAATTAATTTTTAAATTCTCTTTAAATTTTGTGTTCTTCCTTTCTTGAACATGCCTAAAATTATCCCGAACATTAAATAGAGAAACCATACATTTTGCTAATAAATTTAATTTTCCTTGAGTATTAATTACACATTGACGGAAAACAATACGTTCTGTGTGGGGCAGTGAACGTAAAATAAAGTTGGCTTTGGCCTGGAATTTTTGAAAAAATTTTTTGAAAATTTTTTTTGAATTAAATCCGACCTTAAATAAGGCAGAGACTGCAACTTGAAAAAAATAAATATCTAAGTTAGTTGGATCCATCCTGAGAATTTCTGTTTTCTGATTATTCTCTCCTTTCAAGGCAAAGGCAAATCTACAGTACCATAATTGAGAGAGGAGTGAGAGAATTGGAATTATTATAAATATTTTATGCATTTTAATAAGGCAAGAAATTTAAAATTAATATAAGAATATGAAAATAAAAATTCTGAAATTTTAAATTAAAAAAAACTGAACGGGGATGGTCGTATGAAAATTAGGGAAGGATCGAGTTAACTGACTTTTTCGGTCCGAAACGTGATTCGAAAATTTTTTGGAGATTTCAATTTTCGATAACCATGATTTTTGTTCAATATCATATCTACATAAGTACTATCTCTACTTAAAATAATTTAAAAATAATGAATAATAAAAATTAAAATCAGAAAAAATCCCTAATTAATCTGAATATTTTATTGCCTCCGAAAATGAAGATTGCTTTAAATGAAGATTTAAAAAAAGGATTTATTAAAAAAATTTTTTTTAATTTTTTAAGATAAAATACAAGTTTGTTTAAGCTATTTGTTCATTAATTATTTTGTACTTCTTCCGCAACTTCTCCCCAACAGTTATTTTTTATTTTTAAAGTGAACGCTTATATTTCATTAACTATTCTGGTTAATTAAAAGAAGATTACCGCTAAACAGTTTATTTAAAAAAAGTAATCGAATTATTAATTTCTTAAGTATTGAAGAAGATTAAAAACAAGATTTTAGAGCGAAAAAAAAATTAATTAGAGAATTGAAAATAAAATTTCCATTGAACTTTATCAAAGTTCATCTCCTCGCGCGACCGCTAAGTATTCTTGGAGACAATATCTTAAAAGGAAAAAAATTTTTGGAGACTATATCTGAAGAATAATGTTACTCGAATGTTGGAAATCCCTTCATTAAGAAATCCGGGTGAGAGAATATTAGGGCTCAAGACTTGTAGAGCATAGTTTTGTGAAGAAGCGATTGATACTTGTAAAAATGCTGAAAATTTATTTTTGATTTTGATAAGGATTTTCGGTTCATTCTTACGACCAGGCTTTGTAATATATACGGATATGGATACAGATAAGTTTGCCTGCGGATATCCTTCTGTATCCGCCTTAAATATCTGGGTACGGATACCAAAATCATGTCCATTACCAAGTCTGCTTACGACACAAATTCCTGCCCCTTTCTTGGACTCGGTTTTTCAAATATTGAAATTCGCTTTGAACCCGAACCGAGGACTTTCCAGAACTGATTATCCCATTTTCGGTTCATTTCCGAATATTCAAAGATTTTCCAAGAACTGACCACCTTGATTAACAACATTCTTTTAGACTTTCAAGCCAACCGAATCCAAAGTTAGGTAGGCACAAACTTCCGTCAGAATTTATTTTCCTATTGATCCCATCAGAGCTTTTTCTTCTAATATTAAATACCTGGACTAAGCACTACAAATGAAAGAAATGTAGGGCTAAGAACACGCATCTCGAGAGCCTTTGGTGATAAAATTTCTGTAATTAACATCCTTGGGGACAAAACATAAGCAGAGAATGCTCGAGGGGAGAGGACCTTAAATAAGTATTTTGAAATAATTTTTTAAGCTTTTTTTGTGTTTACCTTCGCATTGAATGCGCGTGGAGAGAGTATGTCTGTAGCAAAAGCTTGTGGTGTTAATAATTCCATAGTAAACGCATTTGGAGATAATATATTTGCAATGGCTGCCCGTGGGGATAATACACTGGGTACAAAAGCGGAAGGGCTAAGAACGGAGAGCTAAAAAGATTTTAGATTTGGGAGCTTAGATGGTTAGGGTCATGATTTTAGACAAGTTTCAATGGCTCTGGACGAGGGATGTCATGGGTTATCCGAAACCGGAAGGCCGGACTTTTTTCAACATGAAACCCGTTCCTAGGTCGTTTGTAAGTACGTTTTTGGCATCCCGGTTCCGGACCACGTCGGACAAATTTTCGATGATTCCGGACATTCGATGACTCCAGACCACAGCCCCAGACAACTACAAGTTGATTACTTACACTTCCAAAATCTGGAGATAAAAGCTGTGCACTAAAAGCCTTTGGTGATAGAGCAACCCTCCTCAATACAGCTCCATCCCTCACTTGATTAGCAAACAGGAATGGATTTAAAATTCTCATTTGTCCAAAACTTTCAGTTTTAATAAAACGTTTTGCTCGATTCGAGTAGTTTTTGGCAGAAAAATATTTTTTAAATCCATCTTCAAGACTATTGCCATTCTCCTCAATTTTTGAGATCAATCGAATATCTTCTTCTAGAATTGCATCTATTTCGTTTTCATTATCACTCGATTCCTCGTTTATTTCTTGAATGATCTTGCCTTAAAATAAGAAGAAAATTACTTTTTCGTTATCCAGTCGGACCTCGTTATAAGATAAACCCAATGATAGTGTTAAGCCTCAAGTTTTAAGCTTTGTTTTCTAAATGTTAGTTAGCCACTGGATGAGCAGGAGAGATATTGGTTGGGGGTTGGGGGAGGGGGATACTGATGCGGGGAGAAGATAATGAATGAGTGGGAAAGATACAGAGGTAGGGGGATGAGAGGGAGAGATACTCCCAATTTAATTTACATTCTATAAGATGCACTTTCCTATCTCAAGGATGTACCCTATGTTGAGGTTCGACTGTATTAAGTTATCACCTCCTTCATTTAACACTCTTCCATTAATCATCATTTTAGACTGCTCTCTACTTAAAAAAGTGTACCCCCTCAATTCAAGCTCATCCCTTTGCCTTTTATTATGCCATTTTGAAAGTTTAGTAAATCTTCTATCAATTTCCTCCAAACGTTCAACAGCTGGAAGAATTTTGGTTTCAATTTCGTTTTTTATATTTTCTAGTTGGTTTAATAAACGCTTCAGGGTGGCAGCAGCTCCACTCATTTGTAAAAGTAATTCGAGCCAAGGAAGTGTTTCTTGTTTGTTGTTGGTAAACACGAGCTTAAATAAGAGGGATTTTTAAACGTGAGCTGACAAGAACGTCGGATCGGGGTTCGAGTTAAAAAGTCTGTGTATCGGAGTTTGTGTAAGCCGACTATATCTGGCTAGTAGAAGCTTAGGCTATAGGTAATATTTTTATAGTGGGAGGTGTAGCTAAAGGAAGGTTCAACTGTACCTCCCTTGAAGAAAACCTACATTTAACAGGTATTGTATGGAAAAATTCCCCTCTTCATGGAAAGATAGAAAAGTTGGAGACATTAACATCTCTTCTAGTTGTGTACTGCTTAAATTTCTCGTTTTTGGAATTTCAGGTATAATAGACAACAATTTCGGAGAGAGTATTTCAACTTGGTCAAAATGAACGGTATTTTGAATCTGTTTTTCTGCTGTGTTAAATAATGGATTTCGTTGATAGGATTCTGAGGAGAGATGAACAGGCATTCCAATGTTTTGCAATAAGCTTAATTTGTGTTTTTAGTATTTTTAGTGGTTTTTCTGATTTTCTAGGCGTTTTTCTGAATTTTGTGTTTTTATGATATTCTGGTTTTCTTGTTTCTGATTTTTTTATTTGTTCTAATTTTCTGATTTTATTTGTTCTGATTTTTCCAATACTGAATTAATTCCAGAGAGGATTTCCTGATTCTGGTTTTGTATATTTCTGATTTGCTAATTTTCTGAATTTCTGGCTTCTGATTTTCTGGTAGGGTTTTTCTGATCATGTTTTTTCTTTATTATTCTGATTTAATTTTGATTTTTTATCTGAACAAATACCTGTTTAACTGTTCTTCCTTCAACTTAATAAACCTATTGCAACGCTCCACCTTATCATAGAATCGTTCAACCTCCAAAAGTTGTTTTACATTCGGATATTTTTCAAGTTTTTTCTCATCAATATTTTTTAAACTAAAATTTTCTAGTCCGATAATTTTTCGTTTACTTCTCATCCGTTTATTTATTTTTAATATTTTTTTACTCCTCAATATCCTCATTTTTGCCTCATTATTAAATTTATTTTGTCTATTTTCTTCTTTTAAATATGTAAAAACTTCAAAATTCCGTTGAATTTTAGAGAAATTTTCTTCATGAATTTTTGAGGAGATTTTCGAGGGATTTTTTGATTTAATTGAAGCTAAGTCAGTTAATTCGGTTAATTCCTCAAATTTAAATATTTGTGTCCATAGAGGCCATTCTTGATTATTT